TTGTCTTACATTTCAGTTTTAACCTGCTGCCGTCACCCTGTTTATTTCAGTTTTAGTGCACCAGAAACCCTTTTGTTTTGCATGATAAAATTGAAGCAAAGGCATCTGAACACCTTCTGAAGGTCCAAAGAGTGCTCAAGAGTTTTCTGAAGTTTCGACAGCGATTGGTCAGGCATGCTGCGGTCAGAGAGTGTTTCTAGGAAAAGACATTTGTTGTACTGTGTTATTCCTCATGTCTGGTTTCTATCTGCAACAACTGCAATTTAACCCTGGGAGCATGTTTAGAGAGATACGTGCTACTGCTTTTGTCAAGTAGAGAAACTGGTTGTTGTTGCTGGTGAGGAGTTTGTTAAATATTCAGCGCGACAGTCAGTTTTCATTCCTTACCACCTGATGGCACTCTAGCTCTGCAATATACTGACAAAACCAGAGCCTGATGTGCATAGTCTCACATAGCTGGACAGTTCTGCAGGACAGAATGGTCTGACTGCACCTCTATGCTGCTGTAGAAGAGAAAGAAGAAGAAAAAAACACCCTGCTTGTTTGAATTTCTTTAAACAGTTGTCTTGGACAGAACTGAGTGAAGGAACAGTGTTCCTGCAAAACAGTGAGGAGGGGATTGTTTTGGTGCAAAAGGTGCTAATTAAATGACTAATTTACAGGAAAAAAGCTATCCAAATCATCTGCCTGTCTTGGTGGGTTGGTGCCTTGAGATTCTTGTTTGAGGGGATTACACGGAGGTAGCAAAAGGAAAAGGAGAACGCTGTGTGAAATGTGCAGCCAGCGGCGGGTTTGCACTTGCAGCCTGCATCCGGTGAGTCAGACTGTGATGTATCAGACAACATCCGGCCAGATGCAGCAGCGGCCGCTAAAATACACATCTGCGGGGTCACTAACCCGCCAACTTCCAGAGCAGCGGAGTCAGTGATGGGTCCATGTGGGGTCACCGCTGCCCTTTTCGCAGGTCAAACACGATTTAACTTGATTAGTGACGTTTTAACTCACATTCGCAGCATGTTCTCCAGCTCGGCCTCTGTGGAGCTCCAGCGTGACGTCACGTGTGAGGGGGCGGAACGTGTTCATGTGGCGGACTGAAGACAGCGTTCACTGGTACAAACTGAACTGCCCCGAGGCACAGCGAGAGCAGATCCCAACACACACACACCATCGCAATCCCACATACTGTAGTTGTCCTTGCAGCCCCTCTCTTCTCTTTCTTCCTCTCTCGCTGTCTCTTTAGCACACAGCTCAATTCGGATATTTCATCTTGTGCTTTATAGTTACAAACTGAAACAGCTCGGCTGAGCTACAGAAGATTAATTCTTGACCTTTTGAAGTAGCAGGAAATCCTCAGTCACTCGGTGCGTCCAAGCACGTGGACGTAATTACTTTAACGTCAGAGTTCAACGCATGCAGATAACTGCAATGAGATGTTTAACAACAAATAAAACATGGCAAACATAGATATTAGTATTTGAAGATGATGTCATTGTTTGATTGGCTATTAGGTTAAGTTTTCTTTTTTTTTTTTAGCCATGCTAGTAGCACAACTCTTGGATGTATTACCATGAAATTGGTTGAACATATTAAAGCTCCCTTGAGAATGAAACTTAGTGATCCTTTAAGTTTTCATCTAGAGCCACCATAAGATAAAAAATTCAGTTGTTCCAGCGCTTTGGTTTATGACTGAACTCCTGCAGACCTTCCTGTCAAACTCAGCTTTACTCAGTGTTCAGTGCTAATTGTTCATGTGCCTTTGTGAGCATGTAAATGTGGCTTCATGTAGCTTTAGAGTGATTCACACCTGACTGGTTTGGTTGAAGCAAACTGTTTGCTCAGCCAGTGTACTGTATGAACGGTGGTGGGAGAAAGTGAAACAGGCCGGCTGTGGTGGACAGAACGAGAATGAACAATGCGTAAACTTTTGACATAAAATGCGGCATTCGACTTGGAAAACTTCCATTGTTTTAAATTGCACAGACCACCACGGGGCACTGCGACACCCCGCTGATTGAAAAGCCAGATTCGGCAGCCTGCTCGGGCTCTGGCAGCGCCGCAGGTGAAGCCTTCGCCCGTCCTGACAGGTGGCAGCTTTAAAAACACGAAGCACATCAGATTCCATCAACACATCAGAGCGCCGCATTAGTCAAAACATGATCAAAGCCACTTATTAACTATTAATCTGAGCCAGAATCGCGTCGATCGAGGATTCTACGGGCTGCTATCCAATAAAATGAAACCATGCAGTGTTATTGAGTGGAATAAGTTGAAGAAGGCTGACTGTGCACACACACACACATGGATACGGTATCTGCACAACCTCACACTGAGTAATAAACTGAGGGCTGTTTGGAAGCAGAGTGTGCTCTCTTGTGGTTACTCAGCAGAGGTGCAGTACAAGCTGTCTCTGCAAAATAATGCAACTAAAGCCACTGATCCATGGACTACCTGCATTGCAAAGTGCTGACTTAATCAGATTAGCACGCATACACATGCACACGCTCCGAAACACCTTCCCCTTTGCTGCAGTGTTGACTCTAAACACACCGTCTGACGCACACCTACAACCTGGCTTTCTGTTTCAGAAAGTGAGAACAGGCCGACATGCCTGCCTTGTCCCCCCCAGGGCCTAAAATTTAAACTAGTCCTCACAAAGCTAGCAAGTGCTGCCTCTCGCACACACTTCCTCCGTCGCTCTCTCCGTGCTGCGCAGTGACCAGATGTTGCACAGAGGACAAATCGAATAAAGCAGAGAACATTGGCACCCAGTGCTAAAATGATAACGTGCGCCTACAGAGGCAGCGCTGTCATCTCTCTATCGCAATTTCCTCACGACAAAAGGACACACGAGATAAGAAAAAAAAGAACACGTCTGATAATCCGACACGTAATCGCAACAGAAATAACCCGCGGATGTAACACAACAACAAACAAGGTGGGGTTGTGTAATGCTTTTGGTGACAAATGTGCAGGTCAGCAGCAACTTTTGAACTCAACAGAACTACAGCAAACATGCAGCGTGGGCAAAATGCACAAAGAAATAATAAGTAGTTCCCGGGAAAAAAATAAAATAAAAATGCTTAGGTTTGTTTCTGCTGCTCACAGCTGCAGCTCTGTGATAAGATGCAACAGAACAGACACCCAATGAAAAGAATGTTCTTTATTCTGGCAACTGAAGGTCCTTCACACCATTGTTAGCGTGAATCAAAGGCAAAAAGGCCGTTTTGGCAGCTGTGATGGGTACAGATCCAGATATGTGACACGGGTGTGGGATCTGTAGCTCTGTAAGAAAACAGTGAGAGAATCTGCATTTTGCAACTGCACACATGTGATTGATCATTGATTTTGTAAATTACTGGACCTATTATTCACCATTTTTTTCAGATAATTGGTGTCATTTCTGTTTTTTAGTCAATTTCTGATGCACCTGGTTCTCTTTAAGCCGGTTCAAGATGAGTCACTGTCACTCATACTTCTGTCTGAGTTGCTCTCATGTCACGGTGTCGTAAGCGGCGACGACGCTGTGAGATCAAGGTTTGTGGAGGCAGCTGCCACAGGCTGCACAGCCTCAGGGCATGATGGGAAATACCTGGCTTTCACCTGATCTAACAGCTGATTGGTTCAGATGCAGGCTCAACAACAGGATGCTTCACAGAAACTTTTAATTTTAGAGGTTTAGATTATATTTGTCTTATATTTAAGGTTTATTCCATCAGCAGGATGCATGTGTGGTCGATGGTGCACACAACAACTGTAGGTTCACGTTGGACTGATTTCACAGCAGCAAGGCTCCAGGTGAGGGCTGTGAGGATTCCTAAGAATAGCATCTGTACAGATGTTCCAGCCCTGACAGTCTGGACACCTGATAGATCAGTAATGGAAGCTCACGTTTTTGACTCTTTGTTAGTGTTTTTAGTGCACTTGTGTGGTTTGAGAGCTGATTTATGTGCAGCGAGAATTAATGTAAAATGGAGGTTGAACTATAAACAGAGTGCAGATCGCCTTCGCAGCGTTTTAATAACCTCCCCAGTCATATTTCTAACTATTAGAGACTGTGCACAATATATGTAGGGATTGGTATCCTTAAGATTTTACTGCTTTTACCGATACTTTAACGGTGTTCTTATCAAAGCTTTTTGATTGTTTTTGTTTCTTTCTTTTGTTTTTAAAGAGAAAAACTCAACAAATCAAGAATAAAGATTGTTCCCCATACATACTGTATTTAAATTGAAATGTATACAGACGCTAATGTTGTGTTGGTGGGTTGATCAGAGCACTGTGGACACTGTCAGAAATAAAAGCTCCACCTTGAACAGATATTAGGGTAAACGTCAGCATATTGTGTTGATAAAACCTCTTTCAGTACTCCCTCTAAAATGAATGCAGGACTTTGACAGTATTTCTGCTGTTTGTTTTTAATAGTTTCATTAAGAGAAATACATCTTCTACCACTGGCATCACCATTCAGTCAGAGAAACTGTGAAAATAAAGTAAGACAGAGTTTTTCTGCAGCCCAAAAATCAATAAATCCTGCTGCTCTTTGCCATGAAAGTAGAACTAAAGTAGTAGTTTAATTGACTAATAATAGTTTAAATAAATGTCGGCCCCTAACCCCTACCACACATGCACACATATATTCAAACTTCTGATTCTTTTCTAGTTGTTTTTCCTCTCATGTACAGCCAGTGAAAAGAAAACCAACACATGTTTCTGCATTCATACCCAGACCGTCTACATTTCTGGGGAGGAATGACTTTGCCTCTTTCTGCTCTTCACTGTTTTAACCAGTAAAACATTTATTCTATGTGACATCTACTAAGAACAGCAGGACAGCCCCACTGTGAGCTGTAACACCTGAGCTGTGCCTGTGTAGGTGTTCTGATCTAGCTCTCCTATTTCTATGCAGAGCAGCAGCAGCAGCAGCAGCAGGAGGCCTGTCTATCCGCCCTGGATCTGTGGAGGGGAGTTCCACACGTGACTGACTTGATGCTCTCGTACAGGAGCCTGGACGGAGGTGAAGGCACAGAGCAGCAGGACCTCAGTCACAGCATCAGCACCCGGAAGGCTGCACGGAAAGGATTTTTAAAAAAAACTTTTCTATCATCTTTAATCTGAGGCTACATCTTTATCTTATTACTTGTGGACCAAACAGCTCCATCCTCATCCTGCGCATCCATCCATCCATCCAGCCAGCATCCCTCCTCCTCTCCAGCAGCAGCGTCTTTTTTGGGTTTCTTTTTTTTCCTGACAGTGTGTTGAATGTGTCGCTCGGCTGCGGCGGTGTTGGCGGCTCTGACCGCCTGCCTGTGGTGCGGACCGGCCCGGTGCGCGGTGATCCGGAACCAGCAGCAGCAGCAGCAGCAGCTCAACCTCCGGCCGCTCATCGGTAAGACTCGGAACCGTTTTTGTTTGGCGCGTCTCCGGCCAGAATCCGGCTGTGCGCGTCGGATTATGATGGCTCTTATGTAATCTCACCGAGAATGTTCGAGAAAAGGTGTCCGTGTGCGCGTCCTCTCCGTGGGTCTGCTGCGTGTTCAGGCCTAATAAACCTCCCAGAGGAGCCAATGAGCACGTTATAACCAAACACACGCAATTTATTGTGTTTCTGTTCAATTTGCCTCCTGGATGTCCGGTGTGTTGCCACGTTTGTTGCTATTTCCCTCAAACACTATTGATTAATATCATTAAAAAAAAATAAAATAAAATAAAAATCCAAGTCACATGTCCATATTTGTATTTTAAATGTGTTTTATTGTTTGTATTATGTATTTATTTATATGTATATATTATATTTCACCACATTAAGTTGATCAGTGATGTCAGTTTATGTTGAAACAAACTTATGTGGTCACATGATCCCAGGCTGATCTGTTAAATCTCTGCAGGATTTTAAACACAAGAACCACCCACAACCTACCTGCATGAATATTATTATTATTATTCCACCTGTCCTTAGAGTCATTCGTTTGTCATTTCTTACAGATCAGATCATTTTTGTTGCCTTGTGTAAAACTGCTGCCATCACTGTGGTCAGAAGTGTGATTCATGATGTGTGGTTCTGAGTGAAGCAGGAAGTTGCATTTACGTCGTCATGTTAAGGATTTAGTGTCTCACCTTGTTCAGGTGTTGGTCTGGTTGCGTAGCTGCGACACAACACACACACACAGAGCTTCTAAAAGTTTTCTTGAACTTTAGAGGATTCTTTAGTGTTTTGTGTATGAGTTGATGATACTTTGAGTTTTAATGGATTGTAATGAGGATCAAAACTCAGGAAACGGGACATTTCAAGCCCAGCGCTGTGTTGCTATACATTCCTGTCCACCCTAATGATATACGACAGAGGATGAAGATGCCACTGCTGGTCATATGATGCACATGATATATTATATTTAGAGCATAACACTGTCACTTAGTGTTTTACCGGCTTAGGAACCGGTTAAACTGGCTGTTTAAAATTCTCCTTTACTATGGTAAGGACTGAGTATGTGCCCAAAGCAAGAGGACTTCATCATGATGTCGGGAGTAAACCCGTCTGACGGCCTCCCAGCATGCACCACGGCCGAGGACTTGCAAAAGTTATCCCCGTTGTATCAGCATTAGTGTTATTGAGACCTGCATTGTGTTCTGCAGTGTTTCCATTGATGGGCTTTTGTGCAGTTAATCGATACGAGCGAATGATTACACGGCATGAGTTTATCATCGCTGACGGGAATTTAGTTCTGTTTTTTCCATCTAAAAACATTATTTCGACCAAACGTGTCCGTGCTCTTAGGATAGTTGAGTGATATTCTTTTAAATACTCACTAATTGAATGTTTAACATCATCATATAATGTATTTTTTAACTTTCAAACCACTGAAGTATTTAGTTAGTTACTGGCCCTCGGCATCAGCTCACCGCAGTGGGAATTAAATTTCATTATTTGTTTCTGTGACTTTACCACATTTTTGGCAATGTGACCATACTAATGCAGATACTGACTTACAAAAGTGCATAGAAGTGGTTTTATTTATATATTTGTATTCATATCCGTTGAATAATTTGTAAACTTGTCTCTCATGTCAGAAATGAAATGAGGAAAATAACTATGATGCTGCCTTCAGAAGAGCTTACTTTGTAAAAGACTTGCGATCTTAGAAATTCATGGCGTACGATGGAGCAGCATGAGTCTGTCCTTTAACTGGACTTTATAAAACCACAGTTAAACAACATCCACAACGGCTTTATGTCAAACAGAAATCTCTACGTGACAGCTGAGTTCAGACCAAACCACAGCCCAAATAACGTCTACATGTCCAAATAATGTCGCTTCTTATGTGCAGCTGAAGTTTATGGTCTTCTGTGATGTGAAGTTCCAGAGAACTTTCCAGGAGGAATAAACTAAAACCTAAACTATGATATGCATGTCACAGGAATGACCTGCGGGGGGTTTAATCTCTCTGAGAATGTATCTGTGCAGATGTTTCCCTCATCTGAACATTTCAGCCCCCTGCTTTGTTGTTTCTTCATCTTTCCTTTGAAGGCAAATATTTGTCAGGTATGTAGCAATAACTTTTTGTTTTTTCTGTGTATGCATCTATGAAATATTTGTCTTCTGTCTTCCATAGGTGTGTTGGCACAGGAGAACCTTCCAGGTGACCAGTTCGCTCGAGGCTCCTCGTACATCGCTGCCTCTTACGTCAAATACCTGGAGGGCTCCGGAGCCAGAGTCGTCCCCATCCGGTAAGACGGCTGCATAGAACAGGTGGAACCTCTCGGTCGTACCTGCACATAAGGAACTCGACTGGATTAACCTGTTGTCTTGTCACAGGAGACTGCAGCTTCGTTATTTGCCCGGACACGCTACTGCTATACATTCAAATATGGTTGAAATCCTTCTGATTTCAGGCCTAGTTGATTTGCTGACAACCGTGATAACTACAGTAACCCGAATGTTCAGACTACTTCCAGCGCTCACGTGTTGTGGACTTATTCTGACGACTGTTTGTGGCGGTTTCTATCAGTAGAACTGCATTAGCAAGGACTGATACAGCTCCGATGCGGTTCAAAGAGCATAAACAGTGACCAGCGAGGTCGCTGTCAGCCAAATAAAAGTGCAACAGATGTCTCATGAAACTGAATCCGGCGTGGGAAACGTTGACTCTGCTCCTTCCAATGAAAACTCCTGTATACACAGGTGTTGCGTAATGAACATACGTTAAGTTCCAGAGAAAGTGCCGCCCATAAACGGAGGTTACTGGATAGTCCAGTAAAACTTAATCCTCTGACTCGAACATCAGCTCCATTCTGATGTAAATTTGCTTAGAGCTGCGGTTTCGATGGGCCGTTTCATTTGACAAAAACCTGTGACGTGCTAGAAAACAGCCCTGGGTAGAACGGTTCAGGTTACCAAGTTAGAGGGTTGGAAAACAAAGAAAACCCTGTAGCATGGAAATCCTGCAATTCTGCTTTCAGTGCAGCATTTTTGAAGATATTTGGATCGTAAGATAAATGATTGCGTGATGTGAACAGTTTGGTTTAATGGTAAATCAAAGGCCAGGCTGCTGTAATATCAATATATTTATTGTACAGATGCACCAAAACACTACATGTCATGTGGAAGATGGTTTTATAGTCCACAGCTTTGCTCTTGGCAGCCTTGTTCCATGTGGAGTCCAGTCACACAAAGCCGGATTCGGGGTTAGCGAGGTAACTTCAGGTTTAACTTTACCTCCAGCTGTGGTTTCAAAGAAGCTTTATTGTTCAATAGGCTTTCTTGTAGGGCCACAGTCCCAAAACAGAGGCTGATAAAACACAACAGCACCATATTTGTTGACCTGAGCAGATTTGCAGTAAGTCTAGTTTTGCTTAGGTTTTTATATTTGTTCTTTATCCCCAAATCATTTAACACCACAAGAGCTGCAGCACGAAGAGTATATTGTCTTACATACCAGAAAAAACACACACAACTGTATTTAGTGAGAGCTGCTTGTGCTTTAATGAACAGGCCTGTTGATTTAAACATTCACACAGATTTCCTTCCGTCTTTGGCTGCACCCTGCTTTTAGTTTGTCTCGCTCTTATTGGTTTAGGATTAAAGTTTGTTCTTGTGGAAGGTTGCAGCTGTACACCTTTCCATGTTTGTGATTAGTCATCACTGGTGCCAACTCCGCCCCTTTTATGTCCTCATAGCCAGGTTTAGAAACCAGGGGTTGACTCACGGTGTTGAAAACCACCATCGTGTGGCTGCTTCGTAACGGTGCTGGTTGGGTTCAGTGAAGTCAGATAATGAAAGAGTCAGTTAAGCTGATCCAAGATTTTGGCAAAGTACGACATTTTATAAAGATGGTTAAAAGGTAGGAAGGGGACAGCAGTGACCAGTGGTCGGTTTGTAAGTAGGTGTGAAACAACGACAAAAGGTAAGAGATCAAGGGCTCTGGCAAGCAACAAAAGGGCTGATGAGCTCTGAAAACAGGATTAGGAGGCTGTCTTCAGACGCCACTTGGTCACTGCAGGAGTCTTGTGTATTCACACCCTTAATAATTAGCAACGACACCACACAAGGCCGGGCTTTGAACCCCAGGACCGACTAGCTGACTGGGCTAACTGGTCTCCACCAGGCAGCACTGGTTTCTTCAGTGAGTGAAACCCCTTGAGGCTATGAAACAACTCCAACAAACCCAGAGCATCCACCATATGGCCAGAATAAAACACCGTCTACAGCAAACATTGGATCAGAGCCATGAGTGAATGTCTTCAGCAGTCTCCTGTTAATGATGTGGCAGCAGACTCAGTGTGACTTACTTTAACATGTTTTATGATCTTCATCAGGTGATAACCCTGAAACAGTATTTTGTAATGTGTACACTTCGTCTGTTTGGAGTATTATGGGCTGTATACCAGTCAGTATGCTGCAGTCATTCAACCCCTTTGACATGCTGGAAACTGTACTTTTTCAAGTCATACAGTGTTCTAAATAGCACATGACTAGAAATCAGTGCAGAGCAGCCTATGCCATTTCAGAATTTTTTCATTCACACATTTGAGGGGATTCCTTTTATAGGAGTCCTGCTAGAAAATATTCAAAAGAGCAATAAATCCTGTCACATTCATCCCTCAGTGTGCCACCCCTTTCAGACTCACAGCAGTTTCAGTCGCGGTGCTGAATGTGGTTTGAAGTGGGCGGAGCCTCTGCAGTAGCTCACCGTGTGATTGGACAATCTTTTAAAGTCCATTTATGGTTGCAAACTGCCTCTTCCTCATGTTGTATTCGTACTGTTTTTTTTAAAATTTGTGATCAAATTTTTATTTTATTTCAGATAGGAAAAATAAAGTCAGGCCTATGTACATTACAAAAAGAAAAAGAAAAACAGAGGTACGTGGAGTGCCAAACTTAGCACACATGTCCTGAAAAGCAAGTAGCCCCCCCTTTCCCCATAAATATCACCAAATGTGTGAATATTATTTCTTTCCCAATCAGGAAAATGAACAAGTTGGTCGCCAATCAACAATTTGTCATTGTTAAATATTGGAAAATGTGGGCCCCTCGCAGTGGAACAACCAGCTAATTTCTCAGCCTTCCTCATGTAGAAAGCAAATATGGGATAATCAGACCAGATCTCAGATGGCATTGATCGATTTAAATATTAGAATGCAAAAAGTTGGGAATAGAATATGGGGCCAACCTCCAGAGCTCACCAGGACACATGTGCATCAAATTATAACCACATTATTAAAGGCCTCAATGTGAAGAATCATTTCTAAAATTTAAAGCTTGGGAGAGTGAGGCCACCATCCTGCCTTTCTTGTTGTATAGTGGTGATGTACTAAATGAATAGCACATACACAGAGCTCAGTGTACAGCCTGTAACATCAGCTATCACTGTGGTACTGAGAATTTAGGTAATAATTCAGATTTTTTTTATTCACACATTTGGGTGGGATTCCTTTTATAGGAGTCCTGCTAGAAAATATTCAAAAGAGCAATAAATCCTGTCAGACTCATCCCTTAGTCTGCCATCCCTTTCAGACTCACAGCAGTTTCAGTCACGGTGCTTAATGTGGTTTGAAGTGGGCGGAGCCTCTGCTAATGAGATGCACTTCACCCTATCAGTAACTCACCGTGTGATTGGACAATCTTTTAAAGTCCATTTATGGTTGCAAACTGCCTCTTCCTCATGTTGTATTCGTACTGTTTTTTTTTTTTTGTGATCAAATTTTTATTTTATTTTAGAGAGGAAAAATAAAGTCAGCCATATGTACATTACAAACAGAAAAAGAAAAAAGAGGTACGTGGAGTGCCAAACTCAGCACATATGTCCTGGAAAGCAAGTAGCCCCCCCTTTCCCCATAAATATCACCAAGTGTGTGAATATTATTTCTTTCCCAATCAGGAAAATGAACAAGTTGGTCGCCAAATAACAATTTGTCA